ATATTTGTTTTCTGCCGTTAGAGAGTTGATGTTTTTTCTGCCTATATTCCATCTTCCTCGCAGTATCTGAGGACAAAATGGTAGATGTTGGCGACATCAGAGGAGGACTTGTTGAATTCATAGAATTGCTCTCAATGGAAACCACACCTTCGAGTTCGGTGTCAGATGTAATGGGGAAGTTTCCTTCAGATGAATTTTCATAAAATAAGTTCGGAACTCTCCAGTTTCATGTCCTCGCTGTACAGAATGGCGACCGATAAAGTCCAAGTCGTTTTCATTTTCAAATTAAAGCAATTTCTAATTTTCGGGGCGGCAAACTGTGACGTACATTCTGAATATAGCTGATGGTGAAGAATATAGCTCGCGAATAGCTAACGAATAGCTAACGAATGAAAAGAATAGAAGAATAAGTAAAACTGGTAAACAAAAACATACATAACCACAAATGCACTCGGAGCAGGAATGCAGAGGGTAGTTGGCTTCATTCTGACAGGTTATAGTTTTGTTATTTATGCATTGAATAATCTCGAATAGAGCTCGATCCTAAACGAGAATATCATTGAATCAATGAATCAATATCGGGTGCATTCAATGATACTATCCTTCCTAATTTACTGCCATCGGTGAGAAGAGAATGAAGCCGACAGCCATGGCTCCTTCCTCTTGTTGTGCCTGTCAGTATTTTGAGTGGTGTGGACGGACTCGATGTATTAGGCGCTGTTGTTAGATATAATCTGCAATTATCCTAGAAAATAGATCCGTTTTATTAAGGAACGAATTCATTAGCAAAGAAATGACTGACCAGTTATGTAATATAACGATAGTGAAAAATTATAGATACTATCGCAAAATATCATAATTTATCTTTATTTGTAATCAACTTCATTCAGCCAATGAGAGATTCATGGTAATTATCCATAATATTTGAAAAAGTAGGATTAATGAACCTATTATATTCCATTACTGTTATGATATAGTTATTATGCATTCAAAGAACAATTTCCGAAAATCTAGACATATTGATGATGTCGGCAACGTCGTACTGGCACAGGGAATCGCATTTCAACTCTGAGTGAATGTGGATTTTCCGAAAGTACGTCATAGGAATGGCGAAGGAGCCAAGTTCCTCTTTCATTTATTTTTTTCTGAAGTCAAATATGATCTTACGTAAAAAAAAAATACATATGTATTGATTTTTCACAAGCTTCACAGTGAGATTAGAACGTCAATATAGGAAACTTCCCCATTGTCTAATCATGCAGCTGCAAAAATACATCATTTTCAATCTCTTTTCTTCTAATTTGGAACCCATCGACCGATTTTCAAAAACAAAAATTCCATAATATAGTACTCAACGAGCTTTATTCGAAAATGTGGATAAATCTGAAATATTCAGAATTTCAAGGCCTACTTTTGCATAGCTGAAATATTTTCACACAAAATTTGAACGCAATGACTCATATAGGGTGTTAGTTATTCAATGGCTAATTTCGAAATTCTCGCTTTTTCTATTCACCTTGTAATGAAATCTAAGGAGTTGCTACAACCGGTGAGGGGGTCATGCTATGAAGAAACACATAGAATACTCATACACAAAGTCACATCATTGTAAGTTATATACAGGTCAAGTCAACAAAAAAAATCAATGAAACTGAAGTTAAGGTTCACCATTTTGAAAACTCAAGAAAACTGTTTTCCACACACTTCACCACACAGTAACTTTGAGAATCGTCTGTACCTATTGACAAAGTGCTGTCGAATATAACAAAATAATAATACTAATGACATACAATCACTTTCCAAAGACTGCAAGGAGATATAGAGAATGCTTGATGTGGTCATAATAATGTATACCGATTTTGGCGAAGTAGAATGACAATTTGATATAACAATAAAAAATTTTATGTATATACGTTAAATTCAATTTGTAAGATGTTGTTTTCAAGATGGATTTGGCATCTATCATGACATTTCAGCGCCAAGGCCAAAGCATGAGTAAAATAAACACCCCTTATGTAGGAGCAGACTGTGAAATCAAACAAACACAGCCACGATCGAATGTCGTCTTATGATTGTGTCAATAATTGCGGAATTGAGGTCGCAGAATTGAACAACATCTGTGGTTTCGCGCAAATTATACTGAATAATCAAGGCAGAAGGTTTTTCCAGGATAGTCGATGATATTGGAGCTAAAAAAACTCTTTCTGTATCGTAAAGATACATAAACAAAGCCATATGCAATTCTGACGGACGTGATTTGTTGAAATCGCCTCAGTTTTTATTATTGGTCAGCTTTTTCAATCGTTCGAATGTAATAAAAACAAGTAAGCGTATTTATCATCCATATAATAATTATTATATGTGGTATAGATATAAACTTCTTTCGTTCAAAAGTTAGTAATTCAATAATTTTATTTACTACAACCGACACATAAGTCGTCCATTTGAATACCAAAATTAACTCTCGAATTGACGTTCCTCTTATTGACACAAACATAGGTATGTTGCTAGGCAGCACTTTCAGTTCCTAGGAGCTAAAGTTCAAGTTTAGCTCCTAGGATGACCTAACACATTCTTTTTAGTTCCTAGGAGCTAAAGTTCAACGTTAGCTCCTAGGAACTAAAAAGGATGTACTAGCTTATCAAGAATAAACAACATTGTTATGGTTGGTTATTTGGGTTAGGACGCATACCTGATTTGTTCCCGATTTCGGCAGATTTGGCATTTCATACCCATGCTGGAGATATAAATACACCATATTATAATTTTGATTTGATTTGTTTTGATCAGGAGAGCCTTCAAGATTCACACACTTGCTTGATCTGTATTTCATTTGTTATTCTCGGAATCTGATTGATCGGATAACTTGTTTTTGAATAATCACGGCCAGCAATACTTTTTTGTCTCGCACAACGATATTGTTCACCAACATTGTCCACATCTTTTTCCTATGCCTGGCACGGGCGCGGTATTTGCTATTAGGGCTGACACCTGGTCCAATGAATTCATTAATTCAATAGAATACACAAATGGGTCACTCTGTGGTTGTATTTACATTGAAACTACAATTCGAATATCCTTGAAAATTGGGTAAACCTTTTTCTATTTCTTCATATGTAAATATATCCATTTTTTCATTTTTTTATGTTTATAATTTATCTGAAATATTCCTTTGCAATCATCATTTTTAACAAACTTGGATAACACCCTAGTTCTTATTGTAGTTGAAAGTTATAGTTGACTGGAGCAAACTGACGATTGAGATGGAGTATTTCGTGTATTGTGTGAAGATTGAATAAGAAATAAAAAATCAGTTCACCCTCTTATTGAAATTGATGATTTGTGCAGTAGGAGACTAAATTTTCCTGATCTTTCTTTTTTTGATAGCTTCACCCAATCTTCCATTTGAATTTGCTCTCAGTGAATAAAGAACAACAACACCGTTGGACCTTTTTCATGTGTGAAATGCGACAGCTTCTTACTGTCAACGTTTTTTATTCCAACATCCAACATGTATTTATATAAACACTCATTAATTCTACACCACCCATGCTAGGAAAAAGAGTAAAAGTAGCGACAAAACGACAGAGAAGACGGGTTCAGGATGGAGTTTATAAATAAATGACATGGAGAGAGGCCAAGGAATGTTCGTATAAATCGTTCCAGCCAGGAGAGATGCTATACATTGATTTATTGGCCTTACTTTGCAGATACACAAACTTGGAATGCGTGTTTTTCGATAATAAATGGAGCTCCAGCTATACCTACTTCAGATCACTAATAATTGCACTTTATTTCTGTATTGTTGATAAAATAAGAACCCAAGAAATAAATGAATTTTTTTTTTGCAATTGCATTACCTCGTTGGTCCCAGCACTGGGACCAAACGCTCCATAAGTCGAAACTTGTGCGGGGTTAGGTAAGCATACAAACACAAACATCCATGGCCTAACTAGGATTCGAACCTATGTCTCGGTGGGAGTCCCCATACGAACTCAGCGCCTTCACGCTCTCGACCACCGAGCCGCCTCGTACTTGTATTACTTGTATTAGAAGAATAATTCTTGGTACATTCAACAGTGAACAACAAACAACTACTTGCCTGGCTTATAGCCCAGTCACCTTAGAAAAAATAGCGGGAATCGGAGCCAAAGTTTTAAAAATTGGTGTACGTGTTCCTTTTAGCATTGCAAATAGGTGCAATATTTCAGTTTTTCACGTATGTCTCGGTAACTGTCAACTTTATCGCGATAATGGTGGAGAGGTGAAAGGAAGCTAACAAAATTTATCGTAAAAAAGTATTCATTGATTATTTCCGAAATATGCACGGTTTTGGACTTATGTCGCCACAACGATTTGGCAAAATATAAAATTTTACTGCAAACCGACTGGACAAACTATAATTTAGTTGTATACGCTCATGGTGACCTGCAGAAGAGCTGCTAGATCTCATAATCAAGAGTTCCAGGATGGTCAGAGTTGACCCAATTGTCAGTAGGAGCAAGACAGTACTGTTTCGACCCACCAGGTCTCAAAAGCCGATCTCGGTCTGATGACAACTGGGACAACTCTACGCTTCGGGTGTATCACCCATTTCGAAGACGCAGGGTATAACATGGAGAATAAGGCATGTATTCTTCGTTATTTGAAAATACAACCATCGGGTCGGGTTCGTCCGGAACTTCGTATTCATTACTTAGAAGAGATGAAACGGAAAAATCGTCCTTCACCTCGGAATCCAGCGTTTCGGCGTTGTCCTGACAGTATTGTGCGTTGAGGCACGATGCTCCAAGGCAATATTCGCAACTAATCGAGCATTTAAGACCCGCTTTTCTGCATCCGCAGGCTGCCGTGCATCCTTTCTTGCAATCGCTAGAAATCATCTGGAGCAAAGAATCTGGACTAGCAGGTAGGGTAGTGGGCACAGGTACCAGACCAACAGCACTCCTCTTCCACCCCCAAACCTCAGGACATTTTTTATTACCCAACGACTCTTGTACCTGATGATTGACTCTGAAGGAGTGCTGCCTCAAAGCTGCTTCCGACGGTGGCAGAGAAGCCAGATCTACTTTTTTTTGTAGCAGATTTGGCGAACAGATTGTACCGTAGCCTGTTCAATGATGTTTTCGTTTTATGGGCACCATACAGAGCTAGAAAGAATCTTTCACATGTAGCAGATACTTCTCCACTCTTAGCTTCCGGGTTGTTGAAAGCCTTCGCAACTTCTCGTAATGATGGCCGGTCCTTCATGAGTTTGAAGCATTTCAACTTTCCTTTTTTAAAGAAACATGATGTGGTATCACAACCCCCAAAGGTATGTAAGAAAAGGATAGTGCTCTGTTATTTAATATCGGTTTGTAGTTCGCGGTAACAGTACCTTTTTGCCTTTATAATGTTGCGTTCTGCTGGAGCCAAAGCTATGCGAGTAGTATAAGTAGATATACATCTTCTCCAACAACGGTGACTTGGGTAGAGGAAGACATTTCAATAGCTGTCTGTATTGTTAGCGAATCCGCATCGTCCACTGCTTGCTTTGTGATGAACCCTTCATTTTTTCTGATAATATAGCAATCAATCGCTTCTTGTTCTTCGGGTTAGCTAGTAATTCTTCTTGTGCGACAGTGACCGGCATGTTTTCATCAAACAAAACATATGTCTGCACATGTATTTTTAAGAGCACGTCTATGCTGTTCAGCCTTTTTAGTTCTATCAGCATCATCAGAGTACCCGTCGAAAACAATCACCGAATTAGAGCCGTAGTGTTTCCTGACGTAGGCAATGTAACTGGAGCAGATTGACAAGAACGTTTGATTTTACTGCCAAATCATACGATGTAAAAGAAAAAAAACATCAATATGTGGCAACACTGGTATTCTGTAATGGCCGATCGCTGTTTCGAGGATCCTTGAATACGGAGCCGACTCTCTGACAGTTACTTGTAGTTGGAATATATGTATATCAGAATAATTATGATTAAGTTTCTCAAATATCGCATATTGTTTTACGATTGACTAATAAACCATGCACTAAACGAGTATTTAGTAGAGAACTTTTTTTTTCTAAATTCAATTTCCTTTATTTTACCTCAGCATATTGATATCGATAAAGTTAACAGATACTGAGATATAACCGAATAACTGAAAAAGTGCACACATTTTTCAAGATGGCGGAGTTAGCTCTACAGGTACAGGTGGTGACTTTTTTTTGGTTGAAAGTCAAGCCAAAGGGAACATGTACACCAATTTTCAAAACTTTGGGTTCGATTCCCGCTATTCGTCAAATTTGATACTAAGGTGATTGGGCTATTATGCTATTATTGTACTTTAGGTATCTGTTGAACACCCAGTGTAAGGAACTGAATGTAACGTGTGGGTTACTGAAGTATTAGGACTGATAATTTACTTTCTCCTTCAGATTTGTATCTATCTAATGAAAAATTGTAGTATGATATACACCTATGGTGAGAAAGTGAGCTTTTAGCGCAATCTCCAACAATGTGTCTGTCAAAAAGTGTGCACCAGAATTGACACCGATTCTCTGCAAGCTATTGATCATCTCCTACAAGTTGGGTATTTTTCCATCATGCTGGAAAATAGCTAGTGTCCAACTAATCCCCAAAAAAGGAAACAAGAGCCTGCCAAAGAACTATAGGCCCATTGCCCTGTTATCAGTTATCTCCAAAGTGATGGAAAAAGCCATCAACGTTGAGCTTATCAAATATCTGGAAAGCTCAGGGAATGATTTATGATAGACAAAATGACTTTCGCCACCGAAGATCAACTGGAGAACCACTTGCCTACGTCACCCATACATGGCAAGCTTCATTCGAAAAACATTGGGAATCTCTAGCTGTAGCGTTAGATATATCGAAGGCATTCAAACGTGTTCGGCACCAAGGACTGCTCCACAAACTACCATCATTCGGCTTACCATCTCAGCTATGCCATATTTCATCGAGTTTTCTTTCAGGCATATCGCTCCATGTGTTGGTGGAAGGAGTATCGTCAGATACCATTGCCATCAATTTCGCGTTCCTCAAGGATCAATTTTGGCACCACTTCATATCAACGATTTATTGGGAGCAACCACTTGCCCTATCCACAGCTTTGCAGACGATAGTACTGTCTATACTTCGTACGCCTATAGAATTCCCATTTCTTCCCAGGAAACTAAGAACTGGCGACGAAGACAGGTCAACGCTGTCAATGAAGATCTTGCGGAAATTATAGCCAACAACCTAGTTGAATTCTACGCCACCAAAACGCAAGCTTGTATTTTCTCTAGAAAGGCGGAACTCAGTATGCCCTGGTATGCCTGATTAACAATGTCTGGTACCACTATTCTCACCAAAACTACTATGTCTATGCTCGGTATTACTATCAGCAATACTCTCTCGTAGGAAAAATCATGTACGATCTTGTTCCGTGCGAAAATCTACTATACACCTCAACAGCTTCTCATAGTCTACAAAGCACTGATACGGCCAGTTTTGGAATACTGTTCTCATATGTATGGGTTTCAGCACCCAAACATGCGCTGATGCTCTTAGATTCCATCCAGAGAAGAGCCATTCGTCTGGTGGGTGATGCCACACTCACCAACTCTCCGACTTCATTAGAACACCGTAGAAAAGTCTATAGATATTTACATGGGTAGTGTTCCTTAGAAATCTCTAATTCCATCACTAGCAATACCAGTCAGACGAATTCGACAAGCCCAGTCAGCACATTCCTTCGTCGTTAACCTTGAAAAGTGTCGAACAACACTCTACCAAAACTTGTTCGTCTATATACCGACGAAGCTCTGGAAATTTTTGCCAATGAAAGTCTTCCCAAGCACTTATAACCTCCAAAAGTTCAAAAAAAATTCCAACACCTACCTCCTCTTCCTATCTTCCCTAGGTACGAGCGATGTTCCACGAAAAAAATCAAGGGTATAGCATGATGATTCTTTTACACTCGGTATAGTGTTGAACTTTCTGAGACGATAAATCAATTAATTTCATTGCTTCTATCTGTTCGACGACAGCGACAGCTACCTGATCAGTGGCATCAGGTGTAACCAATGACTACATAAACATATCATTAAGTAGATTCATTTCCTTTGGCGAATGGTTTGTGGCGACTTTTTCAGAGGAAGGCGCAAGACGTCTCAATGTAATTTATCAGTGGCTCTCATCGATAGGTACTTATTTGGCTTGTTTCTCGACTCGGTACATAAACATATTAGTCGGTTTTCTGATGCCTAGTTACTTTTATGGTGCTGTTATTAATCCAGCTGTCGGGAATATCAAGAAGTTTGGTCATAGAATAATTATTCCAGTAATCGACTGGTGACTGCGAAGTAGAGGTATAACGGAATAACTAACCCGTTTTTGTTTATTATTTCGTTTCCCTACGGCCACTATAGAAAGTAGACAGGAACACACGAGATACAGCCTCAGGCCTCAGTAAGTAGTTTTTTACGCACAGTAAGCACATCGCACAGTTTTCGTTTATTCCGCCAGTATAGGTATGTCATGATCGCGTAATCGCCGTCAAGAATTATAATTCAGGCTGTTTGTCTTCGAGCTGCCATCATCAAGTTGGTTTCATTAAATGCAGCCCTGCATGGATTTTTGTTCGGATTTTTCATTATGCATTTTAATAGCTTTTGCTTTCCTAAAACTTAAACTTACTTATCAAAAAAATCATATTGATGGCATTTTTCATGAGATTTCATGACATGTGTTAAACTGTTAGAGAGAGACCGATAACAGATTTTTGATAGGATCAAAAACTTTTATGAATAAATGCCATACACATACATATTCGTTTTCTTCCGAAAATCTCCGGAAGTATTCTGTAACTGCAATTTGTTAGTCATAAAATTACGCAACTTTGCATTTAACCCACTCACCCGGTATAGTCCAAAAGCAATCGAAAAAGAATGAAAATCTGCTTGAAACAATAATGAATTCTGAGCTGACAAAGTTAAATTGGTTTGTCGACCACCCTCGAGAAAGTTTTGAAGTTCGACACCAATGGCCGCACAATTTGTGATTTTCGTAAATAGGAAGGGTGGCGAAAAATGCCATTTATGGTTTGAATTTTTCATTAGTTATAACGCAGGCAGCAGGCGAACCGAGATTGTTTGTCTCCGTTACAGTACAGGGTGTGCCTCTTGAAATTGACCCCCCCCCTTAACTCTTTTGTTTTCAGAGATGTCAGAAAATGTTGAATAAAAAAGTTGAAACGACCCAAACTCTCATTTCAAGAAGTTGCTTTATATACAGGGCTATTGTTTTTTGCGGAAAGAAAATTAACTTTGACCTTTGACATTGACATTCATTATTCCAGACTTTTTTTGGGATTTTCTCTCTTCGCCTCTATAAAATAAAAATATGAATACTATTTCAATATACGTGATGATTTGCCCCAAAATGTCCCTGCGTTAAATTTTCTTTCACATCCACCTATCCTGGAAACTGATGATGTATGTATGCGTATATTTCTATGGATTATTTCATCTCGTTCCTGAAAATCATATAGAAAAATTCGAAATTTATTGAAACGAAAATCCAACAAATGCTTAAATATATCATAATTATGAATAAGTATGTTACCCTTATATGGTGGAAAATTTCCTATTGAAATAACCATTTCTTAAATATAATGGTCCATCCGATTCTTATTTAGAATTACCGATTTCTGAAATGGAAAAAATTAAATCAGTAGGTATGAATAATAAGACTAGTTTCATCATGCCATCATGCGATATATGAGTGCTTCAGTATACCCATCACCTATACATACAGACAACTTACCTAGTACCAACCTATAAATTACGCAGTTATAGCTTTAGATAGCATATTGTGTTGAATGGTAATTCCTATAAAGAAATAGACCTGAGTGTCACTTTTGCATAATCTTCATTTCTGAAAACTAAATTGTCAAATTCCAATATTTTCATAAATGTCCATAGTTTGTTCAAGTTCCACAGAAAGAATTCTTCTATATCCAATGTAGCAAGACATATTTGAAGAAGTTATTAATCTCTGGAATGTGTAAAAAATTATCACTTTACTGGGGATATCATCGTGAAAATTACACTTCTGAAAATAAAAAATTATCACTTTACTGGGGACATCATCGTGCGAATTACACCTCTGAAAATATATACATATACCTGCCATTGAAATTCATTGGACATTCGGAAATAATCATGGGTTATCTAGCAAATAGTTTTCCATATAGACAGCATAAACTACAACAATCTTAAACTCCAATAGGCACCGAAAGAGAATTTGGCAAAGAAATAATTATTCTATATATTATGCTCCTACTCTCAACAATCTCTTGATTATACTGAATAGTCGGCGATAGTGTTTCCAAATATACCTATTATTATGGACATTATACACCAAAGAAACAGTAAAATTATGTACTGCAATTCGCATTGAAATTTACTGAGGGTGTGGTATTTTTATCTCCCCAATTTATAAATATTAATTCGCTAGTAATTCACCACTTCTGAAAGCAGTACATCACACCATATATGTCAGTTGATAGTACTAGGAATGCAGTGATAAACTTCAACAGAATTGCTAGTTAAAATCAACATATTATCATAGGAAATTCTGAACTGTCGGAATTAACTCATTAGGTCAGTTAAATATAACGTTTATTTTGGATATTTTCATTCCCCGCTGTCTGAAATTGTTAAACACATTTTGAAGTTTACGTTTACTATTGGAGAGGTGAAGTTAACTTATTGTCGAGGTGCATTCTACTTCGATCGCATTCAAAAGTACCACGACTTCCTAACTGCAACATTGTGGTGAATTCCTCTGCATGATCCGAACATACAACACTGCTTCATTCAACCGTGCTGCGTCACCCATCTGGAAACGTAATCCTGATGTCGTTACAAATCGATGTAGGAGGGTATACTGTCACGAATCTTCCATTCTCAATTTATTTTTCAAGGTATTTCTGACAGAATTAACTCAGGCAAGAATTAACAAACGAAGCCAAATGAACCTGCCCCTAGCGACAGACATGTTAAGGAAATCCGGTAGGAATTCGTTGAAGTCATTGGTCTGCTTGAAAAAAAAAACAAATACTTCCTAAGATGCTGATAATAATAAAACAAAAATCGATTATATGATCTGCATTTCATCATATATTTTGGGTATAGCTTTGAACATTATTTCTGAAATTTACTGAGAGTGTGGTATTTTTATCACCCCAATTTATAAATGTTAATTCGCTAGTAATTCAACACTTCTGGAAGCAGTACATCACACCATATAATATGTTAGTTAATAGTACTAGGGATGCTGTAATAATTTCACCTGGAGAATATGTTGAATCAAAGAGAAATTGAGGGTGATATCCTGATATCTGTTGAAATCAACTATCATAAGGAACTCTGAACTGTCGGAATTAACTCATTAGGTCAGTCAAATATAACGTTTATTTTGGTTATTTTCATTCAAATTCAATTCAAATTCAAAATATGTTTTATTGTCATAAGTAAAAACACACTTGTTGACAAAGCTTGTTAAATTACATGAAAATAAATAACACAAAAGTACGACAATAATACGACAAATAACAAACAACATTCGAAAGCTCGTATAGAGCTATGTCTACCTAGTTGAAAATATATTAACTCCATTTCAAATTCAAAAAAGATACCAATTCAGTAAATCAAAAATTCTTTGAAAAATATTTATCCAGGCTATAGAGTGGAGTTTGGACGAGTAGTGCTTTGTGCGGAACTTTTTATCACATGATATTTCTTTGATGTCAGTTGGAAGGTGATTGAATATTTTTATTCCATTATAAATGATCGAGTTCTTGACCATAGTGGTTCGGGGTCTTATCAACTTAATTTGACCATTCTGCCTTGTATTGTATCGTGACGAGACAAGTTGTAAGGCATATTTGTTTTTTTGAATCAGAGACGCTGTTTCTAATATGTGTAAACAAACCACAGTTAAAGCTGTTCCACACCGTCTCATGACAACTGAATTCCGCCAGATGGCGATTGTATAGACAATATGAATAATCACATTTTGAAGTGTTAAGCTCCTCTCACCTTCCTACAATCGGCAACAGAGGTACAACTGACCCTCGGAAGAGGTGATGTCAGGGGTGTCTTCCTACTTGCGTACGTCCGGCTTGCGTACAAGGGGCGTAACTGTCCAAGATGCGTACAACAAGAGATCGGTTAAAATCGTTATTTTTTCAAGGGAGCGCTGTTGCCAAACTCAAAATTTTAATATCAAGTGCTGTTGGTAAATTTAATACTTTTCATATAAAATATTGATAATAAAATTATAGTATAAACTTTAATACATACTATGTATGTATATCTGTGAAATGTCTTCCCTTCCTTTGAAAATTGCCGAAGGTTTACGCAACAGCGCTCCCTTGAAAAAATAAACGATTTTAACCGATCTCTTGTTGTACGCATCTTGGACAGTTACGCCCCTTGTACGCAAGCCGGACGTACGCAAGTAGCACGGATTCGATGTCAGGTATAGAAACTGATTTGCATAATCAGAGCGATAATTTCTAAAATTATTATTTATTCTAGTCTGCAAAACCAGATACTTTGGCTAAGCCTGAGAACTTTCACATTATCGATTCAGGTATACAGGGTTTTTTTTCAGAAAATATAGTCTCATGCATTTCATATAATTTTTATTCAATTAATAAAAATGTTATAATATGGGTATTCGTAAGTAATTATATAAAGTATTATGAATGTACATTCTGATATTTTCATTCCATTTCTCGTTGAGTAATTTTCATTCCTCTTGATACCCTGGCATCAATTATCTCTGGAAGAATACATTCTCTGTAGAATTTTGTCAATTTTGGAGTCATTTCATTCCATATATTCTCATTTCTGTAAATCCTCTCTACATTGAAATCATTTTCGCAGTAGATTACGAAATCACAAAAATCCCTTTTGGTGATGTTCAGTTGGCCTTGGATTTGGTAATAATAATTGTGTGTTTCCTTCAATCTAAGAAAAAAGGAGGAAATAATAAATATTTTCCTAATACGAAAATCAACGTTTTTTCTGAGTTCAACGAGTCATCACAAGTAGATATTATATTTTTATACGAAAAATAACAAACCTTATGCAATTATTATCAGCAAGAGTAGAACAGTTGGTAGATTTTTTGGACTCAGCCAATTTTCCTTCTATAGAAGGTAGGCACTTGCCATCATCTCCAACCAAACCATCAGGAGATGCACCTAAAAATGGAAATGTAGCATCAACAAAAAGTCCACATGCAGTAACTTCCACATTCTTCGTTTCTTCATATTTGCTGACTGCTTTTTGTTCATTTATTCTCCCATGAATGATCGCTGGCGACTGCAAATCTTTTTTTTTTGGTAGAGTAGCTGTTTCACTAAATTATGGCAAGGTGTAGTTGGTCTTCTCTTCACAACTTTACCAAAATTTGATGCGGTCAAGTAATCCATCCGCAACTCTCTCCATAAATTATTATCACGTTGCCCCCGTGTGGATATTTCGATATTTTCTATTTTTTGCGAAGATGAAACTCTTTCTGCTAATTTATTCAAGAATTTCTCCTTCCTCTCTGCCATATTATCCGAACTGATATCTGGTAATGCAGCTTGTGTCGATGGTGGAATTTTTTTACCATTCGCCATGATTAAGCAATTACGGAACAAATGGAACAATTAACAATACACACAGCACAAGTTGTCAACAAAGACTGAATAATCTGAGTCAAGGGGTAGTAATCAGAGTAGGTAATAAGTAAAGTGGCCGGTCATGGGTCATTCTGATTGGAGCGAGGGTGTGGCCTAGCGAGGGGCGGAGATCGTAAGCGTAAATCGATTACAAGTCAAAAATCAATTTGAAATGCATAATGCAAAAAAATAATCATTTTGACCCATCGACAAGCCGATAGAAATATGTTAGCATTATCTTATGTGGATAAATGCGAACAAAATTAAAAAAATATTATAATTTTCAAATAAGTCCCTACAGCTATCTCTAGATTTCGCCCGGCCTATATATCTGAGGGCTCGTTTCTGCAAAACAGAACTTTTCTGGAATAAATGATCACTGCAGGCCCCCCAAAATGCTATTCCATATCTCAAGTGAGACTCAATTAATTCCCCCAATTCCCCGCTGTCTGAAATTGTTAAACACATTTTGAAGTTTACGTTTACTATTGGAGAGGTGAAGTTAACTAATAGTCGAGGTGCATTCTACTTCGATCGCATTCAAAAGTATCACGATTTCCTAACTGCAACATTGTGGTGAATTCCTCTGCCTGATTTTTCTGCGTGAGGGCAGTATTTATAATGCATCCGAATATACAACCCTGCTTCATTCAACCGTGCTGCGTCACCCATCTGGAAACGTAATCATGATGTCGTTACAAATCGATGTAGGAGGGTATACTGTCACGAATCTTTCATTTTAAATCATTTTTTCAAGGTATTTCTGACAGAATTTACTCAGGCAAGAATTGACAAACGAAGCCAAATGAACCTGCCTCTAGTGACTGACATGTCAAGGAAATCCGGTAGGAACTCGTTGAAGTCATTGGTCTGCTTGAAAAAAAAAAACAAATACTTCCTACGATGCTGATAATTATTATTGAACAAAAATCGATGATCTGCATTCCATCATATTTTGGGTATAGATTTGAACATTATTTCTGACATTCGGATCGATTCTGTTCGTACATTGCTATAAACCTTGCTGTTCAAGTCATATTGCTATCCTCCTAACTCATAACAATATGGTTATAGCATTACGTATTCTGTTCGTACTGTTATAGCAAGGTTGGTTATAAATTTCCTTCCAGCAATATTGTTATCAAGAACTTCAATAATCGGTGAATTCAGAGCTGACAACACTGTATTTCATGACTTTTGTGTGAAAAAGAAGAAGTTAACCTTACTTTCATTTTTCTGTCAATGTTTTTTACTTTTGTATTTTGTCCTACTGTTTTAATGAAATATGTCTGTGAGGAATAAAAAAACTAATAAAGCACAGATGGGAATGATTGTGAACTTTTTGGAACAAAATAGAGTACTAGTAACTGGAAAAACGCATCCCTTGAATCCCAGTGAGCTTGATGATAAGTGGGAAGAATTAACAGTATTACTGAATACTGTTGAAAATGGGGCCCGAAAAGAAAAAAAAACAATGGAAAACCGTAAGTACCTATACAATTCAGTACAATATTGCACATTTTTTTATAAGTATCATTTGTACTCATGTACCTACTTAGTTATCAAATTTATCTTTTTTCAGTACTTATATGAATGGAAATAAAAACTAAGAAGAAAGCTCGCTTGAATTATAATTCTATCAGGCAGACAGGTGGTGGTGGATATATTTGCACGGACTTAAGTGATCTTGAAAATCGGCTTATGGCAATTTTTGGATGGATTCATATAATTGGATGTCCTGAAGCACCACCTGAGGTAGACCCTGATAGTGAAGAGGTTGAAAACATAGAAATAATACTCATGGAAGCTAATAATGGAAGTCAGTCTCCTGAGCTTAGTATTGAAAATGACATACCAATTATCGAACCAGAGATAGGAGATAGCTACATCTAAGAAAAATGAAGCAGGTATAATATAATTAATAGGTAGTTGTAGTGTACAATGACATTTGGATATTATATCTTTGAATATACCATGAAATAATTCTTCTCTGCATATTCTGTCAAATATTTAGGTAGGTAAAAGTTCTATGTTGAAATTATTGCTTAAATAGAAATAATTTTTGTTACAGGTGCTACTTTCCCAAAAATTCCAATTCCACAGAGGAAAAAAAAGTTAAGACAATTAGTCCTTCCACAAAGCTGGAGAATTCTGCTATGCTTTATAGATAGATGAACTCTGTGTTTCTAAGATCAATAAATTATTATGATAGATATGCTTTATAGCCATAGCACCGAACAAATGGCTATAGCAGTCAAAGAAATGGCTGCTGCAATTTCTCAGCTCGCAGAAGCTCTCTCAAACATTGCCACAGCCCTGATCAAGGAAAATACCTCTTTTAAGCCCTGATGTTCTTCAACAACTTTATTTTTGAAATTAGTATTTGATTTTTTGTCAATATGATTGTGATAATGATATTTATTGTTCCTTTTTTTGCACTTTCAGAATATATATTTTATTTTTTATGTATTTACAAATTATTATATTGTAGTTCATTACATCCCTTGAAGCTGGAATGGAATGGTATCTCTTCTTGTTGGTTCATCAACAAATGCTGATAGTTCATCTATCAAGTTCAGTGCTGCAGTCTTATTCAAACGAAACAGTTTTTGAAATTTTTCATTAGATAGTTCAAATGGGTTGCTGGCATCACATATATTTCGGAAATGTATTCTGTGCATTTCTCTGAAATTGAATAAATAATCATTGATGCGAATATAATTATCTCCATGAAAACAATGCTTTCCAAACTCACCTGTTTTCAATATTTTCGAATTCATTGAAAAAGTCTAAATGAAAATATATTGGATTTCCAGCCATTTTTCACCTTGTTGTTATATAGCAAGCCCAAAAATGATCTTGCCATCTCAACAAGATTTATAACAAGATCTCTTTAACACTGACAGGTAACATGGTTCAAAATCGTCGATCAGAATAGCACTTTTCAAGATCTGGTTGTTTACATTGCTATCATAGCAATAACTTCTTATAACAATATTGCTATTCACGAACAGAATCGACCCGATTAGCTACTAACCGGATAGATACTTTGGTACTAACAACTAATTTATTGTTTTCAACCTATAGCATGAAATTGACTATCATAGGTATAGTTACTTAATTATATGTTGTTTATCACTTCTTCTCTCGCTCCTTCCCGTCGTCAGTAACTTGTTTATTATTTCTTACCAAAATTATATACCTTTATGCACAGCCATGAAACAAAATATTTACATTGAAATTCGAAGCTACGTTATCCAAAAGGGTCTCCCCGATTTGATCATACTAACACAGTCTTCAAGGTTCTTTCTACATCGATAACCAAGTTAACCACCCAAAATGAAAGTCAGTAGCTGTTGTACGTCTTTGGCAGTATCGAACGAAATATGATGCGCCAGGAACGTAATAAATATAATCCGTTGTTTTGCAAGATTATTTAAAGTATAAATAATAATATTAATGATCATTCTGAAGATTGGTGATATAATACTCAAAGTCATGCTAGTTCTGGAATAATACCAACCAAAAACAAACCTGTTGTTTTGTTTCATTTAATCATTATCATTCTAAATGAAACCTAGAATATGTCTGCCTGTCAATGGTGCTAAGGACCCCGCACATTTAGTACGTAAAATGGCTTTCGGCTAAATTTTCTGAAAATTTGATATGTTTAAGACATTATCGTCCTCATCACACAGTCCAATTTACAGATCGATCCTATGACCAGTTTTCGAGCTACAGGGTGTCAAACATTAGATTTTGGCTGTTTAGAATATTTTGCATCAATTTGAATTATATGCTCTAAGTCGTGATTATTCTTCAGTAGGAATGAACTCTTCACGTCTAATATCTACCTCATGAATCCCTCTATTCGGTTAGAGGATAATATCACATACAGAGTATTGCATTCCATCATGACAAGGTAATATTCTTGGGAAAAGACAAATATTGAAAACATCAGAATTTTGATTTTTACTCAATCACTGAAAACTTGAAAACAAACGGCTAGAATCGGCCAATTATGTGACACAGTATGGGTCTTGATCATAAACATGAGGATTCATATGATTACCTCTGATACCATGTCCGGTTGGCCATATATAGGGTGATGACAATTTGAAAGCTTATAGAATTGATGTAACTCAGGTAAAAAAGAAAAACATTTCTATAATATATGAAGTGGAAAATGAAATGTCTCATGAAATAACCCACCACCACCAAGCCCCTGATGAGTCACAACCACCCCAACGCATATCATCTCAATAGTAGCCCCTACTTATTGTGAAACCTCATTGAATAGCTTGGTGGAAATACATTCCAGTGGTATTATTATTGATATCTCGAACTGGGTGAACTAACAAAAAATATTTATTACCTATATCATTCTGCTGGGGTGACGTATTAATTTTATAACTTTTGAAAAATAAATCGTTAATATCGACCACCATAGAGACATATTGCTGAAATAGTTATATTCAGATGATTTGAAACAAGTATTTGTGTACGGTAGATCGGTGTAGCGAGAGAACACGGCGATGAACAGAATGTTTAGTCCAGGTAAGTACCTAAATGATAATGTTTTCATAAGATCAAAATTATGTTGAACAATTTGACTAGGTATAGGTAATATTTCAATTAGCCAATTTTCGAATATCATCCAAACAAATCATTTAGGTACTTACCTGGACTAAACATTCTGTTCATCGCCGTGTTCTCTCGCTACACCGATCTACCGTACACAAATACTTGTTTCAAATCATCTGAATATAACTATTTCAGCAATATGTCTCTATGGTGGTCGATATTAACGATTTATTTTTCAAAAGTTATAAAATTAATACGTCACCCCAGCAGAATGATATAGGTAATACATATTTTTTGTTAGTTCACCCAGTTCGAGATATCAATAATAATACCACTGGAATGTATTTTCACCAAGGTATTCAATGAGGTATCAC